ACGTACATGTAATAAGTAATATATATATATAGGACAGAATGATGACGATGGAGAAAGTTGCTGAAAAATATCATCGGTTGGATGGGTGTTTATTAAACATCTTTGTGCTGCCTGATGGGAAATTATTATTAAATATAACGCCGAAATGGCTTCTAAATAAAAGCCCGAAAATAAATCCGCATTGTGCCTTCTAAACATTGATTAATAAAAGGAATGTGCTTTAATGTATTTATAAATAAATGACACACCTGGCTTCTTCATTCTGTTGACTGAATTTCGTTCACAGCGTAAAACCATTACGCTTGTCACCCAAAAAGTTTTGATACATGCTTTTTTTTTTAACAGCGGCAGTTATAACTCCTAGATTATTGTAATTATTTTATATCAAGAAGCAAAATAAATTCTACTGAAAAGGATGTGAAAATCTGCATAACTAAAGCCTGGGCCACCTTGAATAAAATGGACGTAATCTGGAAATCTGATCTACCAGACAGCCTCAAACTGAGATTCTTTCCCGCCATTATAGAGACATTGTTAATGTCTGGTACAATTTCCTGGACATTAACTAAAACATTAGAGTCTAATCTTGATAGAACCTACACTCGGATGCTGCTAACTATTCTTAATATCTCTTGGAGACAACATCCAACTAAATCACTCATATGGGTTTTGCAGGACACTGCTGGTGAGCAAAACAAGATATATTTACCAAAATTACATAAAAGTATCTTGAAATTCGAAAGAGTAAATTTATTCAATAAAATCGCCATTAGCTTCAACGACGACCTCCAGAATGTTCTGCATCTTTTCTGGACGGTCTCCTTGTTTAATTTGATGAATGCTGTCATCTTCCTTGCTTTCAGTTCATTTTTGGTGTTACAAGAAGATTTGTTGGACTCTCAGTGAACTGTGCCCAACATATAATAATCAAGGGGTTCCTGTATTGGGTGTTAGGTGGCCAGATGTAAGATCTGGTGTGGTCTCAGAAATTATCTGGCAGCAATAACTCGGTTCTCCTGCAGTTTCCAACAGCCACCCTCTTGAACAAGGGCAATAGTACATTCCCAAAGTGCCGGGCCCTGTGGTGAGTCTGAAGCCCTTAACAACAAAGGCAGGATTTGGTTTCTTATCAGAACTATCAGCATGAGTTATCAGAGCTGACGTACCTCCGTAAACGCCTTAGACTCCTCCAACTTTTAGAAAATCCCCTGCACTCTCCTCGGGGTGACACCCAAACACTCTGAAATGTACGAATTGGTACTTCCGGTGCGAATGCCAAACTATAAAGCATGGAATATTAGTGTTTAAGCCTTTTTATTATATCCCTAAACTGTCCTGGACATTGAGTTCTACCTGGATTCTATCCTCTCGGAATTTTTTATTCAAAAAATATACATGTATGTGTATGCACCTATGTGTATATATATCTATATATTTTGCATATGTATGTGTATATTTACCACTAATATTATCAATATATATATATATATATATATATATATATATATATACTTTATATTTATTTTTTATTTATATATTTAAACACGCTTTTATCTCTGATATATATATATATATATATTTATCCCATAAATATATATATATATAAAACTATATTTCTTATATATATATATATATATATATATATATATATATATATATATATATATATATATATATGAGAAAAGAACAGATAGGGTAAAAGCCACTGTTCGTCGCATATGCTATTAAAAAAGTATGCAATACAACGTAGAGCAATAAAGTATATTTTTATAAGACATTATAATCAAAAGATTTTGAAATCGCTACAGAAAAGTTTTCATGTTTCATGGTACTGAAACATGAACGCTTCTGTGTAACGATTTCAATTTTTTTTATTATAATCTCTTATTATAATAATAATTATAATAATAATAATAATAATAATAATAATGTGTGTGTGTGTGTGTGTGTGTGTGTGTGTGTGTGTGTGTAAATCATGTTTGTTTAAATAATTTAGGCGTATTATGTGATTTTATTTTACTTTTAAATCCACGAATTATTTTATTGGTGGCTGTAGAAAATACTTAAGAAACATTCGAAAATTTTCTTTCAAATCCTTTTTATTTTTCTAAGTACTTTCACCCTCATCTAACCTGTGTCCTATAAGGAACCTTAAATTAATCTGACGTGCTATACCATTCAGTTACACGGAAAGTGTCTGGTTAGCAAAGTTCAAATAACTGTTTCTAAACAACAAATCTTTGACGATCTTTTCCGAATTATCAAATCTAATCACGAAACGTAACTTAACGTAATCATCGACAACATATTATGAAATGGATTACGTCCGAGAATTATTTATTGTATAGGTCACAGGTTGGAAAACGCATATATTCTACGAAACTTTTCGAACATTCAGACTGGTAAATGTAATTAATACTGTTTATTTAAAAAAAACAAAAAAAAACAGCATTTACTTAAATAAATTGTGTTTATTAAAATAACGTATACACAGAATATATATCAAATGATTGTCGGACTTAATCCATTTCATAAGTTGTCAACGTTTATTTTAAGGCATGTTTCGTGATCAGATATGATCGTTCGAGAAGTTGTTGTTTATAACAGTAACAATATAAAAGTATAAATAGACTTTGAACATCAGATCAAATGAAGATTTCCATTGATGTTAGAGGTTCGATTCCTGTCAAAGAAGCACATATTTTCTACGACATTTCTCGAATATTCAGGCCGGTAAATGTAATTAATACTTTTTATTTAAAAGAACAGAGCATTTACTAAAATAAATTGTATCTATAAAATAACGTATAGACAGAATATATATATATATATATATATATATATATATATATATATATATATATAAATAAATACAAAGTCCGACAATTATTTTAAGACATATGCTTATACATTCTTTTTATAGATACAAATATGTAAGTAAATGCTCTGTTAACATTTACCGGCCTGAATATCCGAGAAATTTTCAGAGAAAATATTCATCCCTCAACAGGAATCGAACCAATTTTATACGGAACCGTCATATAACCTGACGTGCCTTAATCGATTGAGCCACCGAGTAGCGTTCGGTGTCTTAAAATAATTGTCAGACTTTGTCCATTTCATAATATATATATATATATATATATATATATATATATATATATATGTATATATATGTGTGTGTGTGTGTGTGTGTGTGTGTGTATTAACTAATTTAGTTGCAATTTTGTAGAAAGATTTTTAGAAGGTAGGATTACCAATTTTGTGCTGTTGATTTTAGAAGTGCTATTGATGTTGTATATTGTTGAGGATATTTGTATTTTGTTAGAGTTTTTTAGCGTATTAAAGAATCTGCCTATATTTCTGAGATGAGGTATTATGTACATTATTTACATTGTTTGGACTATCACCCTCATCTTTGTTGCCATATTTATCACAACGTTTCGGCCTTCTTCAAACAGAACCCTTTATTTCGCTCGTTAGGGTAGACTGTTCTAGTTCCACGTGTCGTGTTTAATGGGTGTCAGTTACCAGTTATCTCATGTTAATTCCCCTCTCCAAGTTCTACACCGCCTTAACCTGGTACTGAACTCACACGCTGTGGGTCCTGTCACTGGATCTAACTAAGGCTTTTATCCACTGTGCCATGTGTCCTTGAGGAGCCAATATGGCGAATTTACTGGATTCAACCAACGCTTTTATTCATTGGGCCATGAAAGGACCACGGTACAAAGAAGAAGAAGAAGAAGAAGAAGAAGAAGAAGAAGAAGGAGGAGGAGGAGGAGGTGTATGATGATGATGATGATGATAATAATAATAATAATGAGTTTGTTCAAAGGGTTGGCAGAACAGGGATTAAGAATGATAGTGAAAATATTAACTTTACTAAGAAATACAAAGGAAAGCAAGTTGTGGAGAGTCATGATTATTCAAGCCTATAATAATAATAATAATGAGCTTGTGCAAATGGTTGTCAGAACAAGGATTAAGAGTGATAGCGAAAACATTAAATTTATTAAGGGCTACAAAGGAAAGGAAGTTGTGGAGAGCCACGATTATTCCCGCCTAGAAGAAGAAGACGAGGAGAAGAAGAAGATGAAAAAGAAGAAATCTTGTTGCCAAATAGGACACAACGATGATGTACACTTATTGTTTGGTTCAATGTTTTCTAGATACGAAGATTATGGCGATTGTAGTAATAGTCAGAAATCGTTTACATTTTTCACATATTTCGTTCTGCTTGTTTACAGTGGCTGGTGTTCCATGAACGTTGTATTCTGTTGAATTTCCAGACTGACTCGAGTAAATGGTGGCATCTTTCACCAGAAAAACAGGCATCTCATCGTATCTTTTTCCAGAGAATTGTTTCAACGTAGCCTCGCATTCTTTGTTCTTCTGTTCAACTGTCTTTGAAGACATCAGATTTTTTGTTTTTTGTTTTTTTGGCAGAACTTTTCTTTTTTATTTCTTTTCCTTGGCATTTTTTCTTCTTTTTTTTTTTTTACAATTATTTATTTGTTTTTAATATATTTCTGCTAATAACATGTTTTGCTTTCTTTTATATTTGATTATTTATGAAAAAAATCTTCACCTGTTTCTTTTTCATTGTTTTTTTTTCTTTTTTTTACTTACTTGCTTTCTTTTCTTAACTTTTCTTTTTTCCTTTATTTCTTTCTTCCTTGCTTCCTTTCCAATGTTTTCATTTTCTTTCATTTTTTTTATTTTTTTTCATTTTTCTTTCTTTCAATTCTTCTTTCTTGTTTTTTTTCTTGTAGTTGCTTTCATCTATATTTCTATTGACTTCCTTTTCTTGATTTCAAATGTTTTCATTTCTTTTTTTCTTTCTTTCAGTCTCTCTTTCATTCTTTTTTATATATTTCCTCGATGCTTTCCAGTCATTTTCTTTCTTACTTTCTTTCTTTCTTTCTTTCTTTCTTTCTTTCTTTCTTTTATTCCAAAGTGATTTCTTTCCTTTCTTCTTAGATTTTACTTTTCTTGAAATGCTTGCTGATATTTTCCCTTTCTTTCTTTTTTTTCTTTCTTTCTTTCTTTCTTTCTTTCTTTCTTTCTTTCTTTCTTTCTTTCTTATTCATTGTTTCTTTCTTTTTTCATTTCAAATATTTTCTTTTCTTTCTTTCTCTCTGTGTTTCATTGTCTTTTAGTCACTGCTCAGTGTTTTTCTTTCTTTTACTTTCCTCGAATTCAGATGTTTTCTTTCATTCTTTCTTTCCTTCTTTCTTTCTGCCCTTCTTTCTTTCTTTTTTCTTTCCTTCCTTCTTTCTTTCTTTCCTTCATTCTTTCTTTCCTTCTTCCTTTCTTTCTTTCTTTCTTTCTTTTTTCTTTCTTTCCTTCTTTCTTTCCTTCTTTCTTTCTTTCTCTTAATGCGTTTCCAATGCTTGACATTCTTCCTACTCTATGTTTTCTTTTACATTCTTTTGCGTTTCTTTTTTCTATTTTCAGTTCAGTTGTTATCTTTTCTTTCTTTCGTTTTTTTCTTTTCTTTCTTTCTTATTGTTTTTCCTTCTTTAATTTCTTTATTTCTTTCTTCTTTCCTCCTTTGTCCTTTTCATTCTCCTCGATTAACGCCAACTATGTTTGTTTTTCTTTCTTCCTCTTTTCTTTCTTCAGGTTTCAATCAACGTTTTTTTTTTTTGTTTTTTTTTTGACTTTACATGATATTTTCCTTTCGGTGCGGCGTTCATTTCGCCTTTCACACCCGCCATCATCATCATCATCATCATCATCATCATCATCATCATCATCATAAACAGCAGCAGGAGCAGCAGCAGCTTTGGCTAAACAAAACATACCTTCGCTTCTTTCTTGTTTTCGTTCGTTCTTCTTTCTTTCTTTCTTTCTTTCTTTCTTTCTTTCTTTCTTTTCTTCTTTCTTTCTTTCTTTCTTCCTTTCTTTCACCTGATACCTTTTATTTCTTTTTTCTATCTATCTATCTATCTATCTATCTATCTATGTATGTCTGTACATATATATATCTACCGATATATCTCAGCATCTATCTATCTATCTATCTATCTATCTATATATATATATATATATATATATATATATATATATATATATATATATATAGCTAATATTAGTGGTAAATATACACATACATATGCAAAATATATAAATATATATAATACAAGCATACACATTTTGTATAAAAAAAATAATTCCAAGAGGATAGAATCCAGGTAGAACTCAATGTCCAGGACAGAGTAAGAATATAATATAAAAGGCTTAATAAATAATAGTCCATATATAGAACCCCCAATATTCTCTCTCTCTCTCTCTCTCTCTCTATATATATATATATATATATATATATATATATATATAAAAACACTAATATTCTGTATATATATATATATATATATTAGAAATTAATTGATATAAAATATGTTTTTTCGCTACATATTTCTAACCATGTTTCAATATATATATATATATATATATATATATATATATATATATATATATATATATATCCCACTTCATATATTAAATATTAAATTACATGTATTCGTTGATGTCTTTCTATCTGAGTCCCTTTTTCTCTGATTTGTCTTTCATTATATAGACACACATATATATATATATATATATATATATATATATATATATATATATATATATAGAGAGAGAGAGAGAGAGAGAGAGAGGAGGTGGTGGAGGAGGAGATCCCAGCTTGCGGCACCTTTGGGAAGTGCCTGAAAAACATATCACGGGTTGATGGAACCCTTGGGAGTCCTCGATGTTTTTGCTCTCATGAATGTATTTCCCTTGTTCAAACCTGTAGATAACGCACTTTACACTAGAAAATGTGACTAACTTCTGCTCACTATATTTGCCGTATAAAGGGGGTCTGCAATGAAAACTAGCAAACGACGGTAGCAGACTGGCATCCTCGATTATGAGTGGCCAGCCAATATATATATATATATATATATATATATATATATATATATATATATATATATGTATGTATGTGTGTGTGTGTGTGTGTGTGTAAATTATTTGCACAGGTAAATATCCGTTGGCATGTAATCCAATTGAATCCTAATAATATGAAATATTAAAATAGTATATTTTCCCAAGGTTATTAGCACGTAAGTAAATGTAATGGATTCGACTGGAATTCGAACTTGCTACTTCGATTCCTCAGTCTGTGGCTCTATCTATTACCCTACCGTGCATACCAATAAATTTGCATAAGTAAATATAAATAAAACAACACATATTAGTTACTCATCATATTGCATCTGACCGCAGTTTAGATGTTAAAAAATGTTACTCGAAGGAAAAGAGAAAATAATTTACTAAGACGAAAATGTTTAGAAAGTGTTTTTATCGTTTGAACATCCACAGTAAATTTGAGTCCAGTTTCTCAAAATATTTCACCATTCTTGGCAGATATTCTATCATCGCTGTGTGGCTTATTTAATAACAAAAGTGACGAAAAAAATAAACAAAAAGAAAAATAATCTATATGAAATTGGCTAGATTATATATCCAAAGCAGACGTGAAAAAAAATTAACTTAAAATTCCCACTGTCGCGAGTTCTCCCGTGTGCATGCGCATGCGCAGTCGCATCAACGTAGCTATGGATTTCTGAAGAAGTCCTGAAGGACAAAATAAGTCAGATAAATACGTTTTTTCATACTTCTTTTTTCTGAAATAAATGTGACTGTGAAAGCAAAAGAGAAAAATTTTGGATCGACCATGTCATTTTGGCTGATGCGTCGTTTAGGATTTGTCGGCTCGGAAATTAGATTTCGAAAGTTTTTTTTTTTTTTTTTAATATTAAGTGTTTAATCATTTCACCCAAAGCAATAAACTGACAGAAAATAAAAAATACAAAGAAAAAAAGAAAAGAAAACATTATTAAAGAGAAAAAACAATAAAAGAATGATAATTAAGAAGACAGAAGATAACGATTGACATTTCATTTACATGATCAGTTGAGTATAGATAGACAGATAGATAGATTTAGTCATTTCACCCCAAGTAGGGCAATAAAGACACAGGCATGCAAGGGATTTCTGTGTGTTAGAGGATATGAAATAAATGTACTATTAAGGAGAGAAGACAATAAAAGGGCAAGCAGACAGAAGATAATGATTGACATTACATTTACATGATGGTTTGAGGATAGATAGATAGATAGATAGATAGATAGATAGATAGATAGATAGATAGATAGATAGAATGATTGATTTAATTATTTCACCCCAAGGACAATAAAAGAACAGGAATTAAGAAGACAGAAGATAGTGACTGACATTGCATTTCAACTTTTGATGATCTAACTTGACTGGATAGCAAGAGACCGCAAGAGTCTTCCACAAACCGAAAAGATTACAATTTGCCTGAAAATTTGCCAGAGAATTTGATCTAACGTTTAATGAATGAATTCACGTCTGCCGAATTTCGACAGTCCTAAAAAAAGGATCATCCATAACGCCACATATAGAAATGAATCGTTTCCCTACATGTCATACGCCCTGACTTCTTGCAATGAGTGGGAAAAAAGAATGGACCTTAATTGGTAGAATAAAACATTTTACAATGCACTAAAATAGTAATGTCACAACTGCTAGAAGACGATGCGCATCTATGCCTCAGTTGCCTGAGATAATGGGAAACCCTAGCAGGACGAAGAAAGCCAATGTCACACGGTCTATATTACAGGTTGGATCAAAACGGTGATATTCCTCGACATCAAGTCACAGACTTCATGTATGTAATATTTAATTCATAGACTACCTGCATATGGAAAAAAAATAAAAACAAATCCTTAAAGACGCAAAGAGCCAAAAACATTAGAAAATTAATAACTCTCATTGTCTAAATATAGCAGAGCAAGCTAGGATTGTTTTTAAACAACAAAGACTGTAACACTGAAAGTCTATTTTGGCTTTCTAAATTCGAGTGCCATGTATATATAGATCTATACAGAAAGACCGGCTTCTCGTTTTCGAATAGACTCGTACACGAAGGCAGCTCCACATACCCTTTCACAGACGATCGCTCAACCAAGAGAGTTCAGCTGTGGTTTATACTGCAACGGAGTTGAACAGACCTTAGAGATTCTCTGAGAGAGTTTATAATCTGTCATGATCAGCAGAGTCAAACCCGCGAAGTCCTGGGTGTGATGATAAATTCCATGCGGTAACAAGGCCTCTGATTGTGAGATTGGAGGATTTGATGAGCATCGAACCGCTTCTTTATTACTGTTGATCGTGGGCCTACTCTAACCAGGAGTAGTAGGGCCTGTTAGGTCCACAGCTATGCGCAAATAGTGAACCCCACATAAAAAACACTACGAAAGTATAAAAATAAATTTTTATATAAAGAAAAATTACCAACAATAGATACTGCGAGTAAAATTAGCAACAATATTTATTGCTAGTAAAATTAGCAACAATACGTACTGCTACATACATACTGCTAGTAAAATTACCCAAAATACATACTGCTAGTAAAATTAGCAACGATATCTATTTCTAGTAGAATTAGCAACAATACATACTGCTACATACATACTGCTAGTAAGATTAGCAACGATAGATACTACTACATACATGCTGCTGGTAAAATTAGAAACAGTACGTACTGCTAGTAAAATTACCAACAGTACATACTGCTAGTAAAATTAGCAACAATATCTATTGCTAGTAATATTAGCAACAATACATACTGCTAGTAAAATTCGCAACAATACCTATTGCTAGTTAAATTAGCAACAGTACTTATTGTTAGTTAAATTAGCAACAATGCATACTGCTAGTAAAAGTAGCAACAATACATAATGCTAGTAAAATTAGCAACAAGACATACTGCTAGTAAAATTAACAATAGTACATTTTATAGTAAAATTACCAACAATACATTTCTTAGCAAAAGGACTAAAAACATTTTATCTGTAGTGGAACATACAATTGTTTTCAAAATATTTATATTTCGACATTAAATAACCCACTGAGGTTGATATGCTGCTAAACAAAAACAACCGAGAAATCATTCAAACCCTCAGCCAAGATGACTTGTGACTTCATGCTAACACAGGCATTAACGGCCTCCGAACGGCTCTGTCTACCTAATTTCAAATACAAGGCTTCGGTTAACCTGTGATATGATTTTCAGACAATTTCTGAAGATGCCGCGTGCTGGGATCAACTCTCCAGGAAGATAAAATCAAGAAGTCACTGCCTTGACAAATTGACTAAATGAGATTTGAACCCGAGTTTCACGGCCAGAAACGTCCTGTCACGCACCCCAATATTTTACATAGTTTCCTTATTAAGATTTTATCTATCTCCAACGCATGGTGATAGATGAAATACACACTCTTTAAAATGAAAATAAAAATCAGGCTTTTATTTTAAACACGAGTATCCACCATAAAGAAAGTTCATGTCTTTATGTATATATGCATGTATCACTATAATAATAATAATAATAATAATAATAATAATAAAGGTCTGAACACCTTTCACATGTGAACATCCGCTGCATCCTGGGAACAGCGTGGCAAGATAAGGTGCCCAACTGGGTCCATGTCTCGAGCAGGTTTGCCCAGCATGTACACACTGCTCAGACAGTGCAGACTCCGTTGGTTGGGACATATAATTGCATGCCAAACACCTCCTGTATGGAGAGCTGGCCGCTGGGAGGAGACCCGCCGGGCGACCACAGCTACGGTACCTCGATGTCGTGAGACGTGACATCAACACAGAGTCCTGGGTGAGCCTGGCAGCCATACGATCAGAATGGAGAGGAAACCTGACCAAACACCTCAAGTCAGAGGAGGAGAAGATGTCACAGGTCGCCACGGAAAGTGACAACTCCAACAGACTAGAGACAGAATACACATGCGACCTCAGCAACAGAAATTATCACTGTCACATCTGCCTTTACAGTCACAGACGTCGATGCTCCAGCCAAGCAGACAACTAGGATGCTACC